GCTACATGTGGATTACTAGCTGGATCCACGGCGTGGAAACTCGCGTTTGCATTTTGTTCTACGGTGCACGAGATACTAGATCCCCTCTCCTCTCTGTTTATTTCCATAATTGCCCTTTCTCCTTCGTCCCCCTTCACATTTTATTTCCTATATTTATTAGTATAATTCAAAACAAAATAATATACTTTCTTGTTCGTCTGACAATTACACAATTTTCGAATTTTTCACGTAAGATGACAGAACAAAAGTTTAATGTCTATTTACTTAATTGTGTGTACCTTTTTCATTAATTAACATTTTAGGTGTTAATGTTTTCTTTTCCTTGTAAATTGAACAATGATTTTTTCATGGTTGCTCATAGTTTACATTTTTGATTAGCAGTTCACCAAAGATTCGAGATGTCGTATACTTGGGTTGACTTTTAAAACATCCCATATTTGCCTAGGGATTTACTTAAGAAACTCCACTAATTCATGATAATAAAATTCTTGAAAATTATTCAAATACGTAGCTTGTGTATTTATTGTAATCATATCCGATTTATCGTACAAGGGCTTAAACTTTGTTGGCTATCAAATAAGTTTTTTTAACTTGAAGAATACCAAATAATAACAGGAGAAAGAATGGGGAAATAAAGAGAAGGAACAGTTCAGTCCAGTGTCCATACTCGATTGCCCATTCGAAGATGACGATGAAGTCTCCTTGCCTTTTCAGCATAAGCTTGCTCTTATGGAAGGTCAACACTCTCTCTCTCTTTCTCTATAGTCGTATCCGTTAGGTGTAAGTTGAACCTTCTGAATCACTATAACTATTTGAGGTGGCCCAAACCAATTTTTTAGGCATGCCAACCAACATGTCACATTGCTATAGTCTTCACTATGTTGGACCCATTATTATTATTTTTTTCATCAATTTGCATAGTTTATTTTCTTTTCTTTTTCCCTAAACCAACCTTACACAGGGTGCTAGCCCCTACAACCGGCGTTGCCCGACTTTATGGACTGGTTCGCCTATGGCACAACTTGTACTAGGTCTCGCAGTGCCTTAAACAGTCACACCTTAAAGAATGTTTGATTATGTTATTTGTAAGCTTGCTTGATTACCAAAATAAAGCGCGACATTTAATGCATCTATAGGGACTAAGAAGAAGCTGATGAAGAAACTTCAGAGGTTCGAGTGCCAAACTCTACTTGAACCGGTCAACCTAGTTAATCGATTTACAGGCCAGGAGTCTGATGACGCTGAATCAATTGAATCTTCCCTACAACATTTCGAGGAAAAAATCATATCGAATATCGAAGAAGAAGAGAATCAAGCCGAACAAAAGGCATTGGAATTATTTCATTTAATTAAATCCACAATGCCATCACTTCACCTCAAACTAAGTGCAGAAACATTGTTACTAGATTACTTCAGAGAAAAGATCACCAATGAATGCTTACTTTCGGAGAAAAAAAGGGTCGAAAAGTCATTTTACGGCGAAATATTCGACCAAGCAAGAGATTGGATTAATGGACACCCCCATGAATTGTTTCTAGAATCTGGGGTGCAGAAGAAGAGACAGGCTTATGTTAAAGACATGGAAAAAGGAAGGGAGTGGACAACATTTGATGAACAAATTAAAGAAGTGGCTTTGGATTTAGAAGCTGAAGTTTATGGTTGTTTGATTAATGAGCTGCTCCTAGACCTCAAAAGTATGTTGACATAGGGACCTTGGGGGGATTTTTACTTTTATTTTTTTAATTATTTAGTTAAGCCTAACCCCCACACCCCACCCCCAACCCCCACCTCGCGTAGGAAAGGGTGAAGTTTTTAGATTTTAAGGAGAATTCTTGGCGGTTCTAACCTTGGTTGAAAGTAGTCAATTTCATGAAATATGTTTTTAGTCTGACTTGGTCATCCTTACACCATCTTCTTTTTAATAATTGAAAGTTTATGAGCCTTCAAATATGTTCGATTGATCATGAAAGATTAAAATAAAATAAAATAAAAATTTATAAAGCTATGAATAAATTATCCAATATCTGAAAATATTGATTAAATTACCCAAAAGGTCACTGAGTCATCAAGTACTGTATTTGGAGTTTTCAGGAAAAAATAAAGCTGTGTCGGTTACCAATTTACAACCGACTGGGCTGGTTGCTTAGGCTAATACTCGTTCTTTTATAAAATCAACGAATAATTTATTTGATATTGTGAATTTAGAAATCAAAAAATTTCTAGTAATTAATTTGATAATCAAATCGTTGACTTGTGCAAAAATATTGATTAGGGTAAATATATTCATACCATAATTTTTATCAACTACACCACATTTTAATTACAATGAATATCAATAATCTTTTCTTATTTTTACATTTATGCTCTCAACCCTTTTTTTTTTTAAAAAATTTATTATCAATTCTCTATTAATTTTCACATCTTATCTATAGAGACGATTTTTGTCCAAAATATTTGTTATGAGGGTCAAAAAGACATATTTATCTCTCGTATTTTTAAATAATCAAAATTGATAACTAATAATCAAAATTAATACATGTGTACACTTTATCTTAAATAAGACAAATTATTTTATTTTTCAAAATAAATTTGCTAACCAATTAATTTAGCTTAAAATAAAAATATGAATTTCCTATTTCTAATTTACAGTCCAAGTTTAATTAATCAAATTAAACTAAATTTTATTCAAATCTTTTATTCCATCGCAGTGTCTTTTCTACTGAATGAAAGCCTTTTTCTCTCAAATCACCACACGGAAATTGAAGCCAGATGAAGAGTTAAAGCCACAGAAGCATCCATAAGCAGATTAGACAGTTTCAGTAAGTCCACATGTAATCATCCTATGCAACCCGTCCACTAACAAAGTCGTAGTTCAACACACGGTTCACTTTTGATATTCAATCCATTCGAAAGCTTGAAGTTAATAGCTCCACAGACTTTCAGTATCTGAATTTCCTGGCGAGTCTCAGTCACTCCACGGAGGCAGCGATGTAATTATTGGTGGGCTAACCAGCATTCCCTTGGCCATTTCCACCAGCAGATTAGGCATATCAAACAGTGCCTCCTCATCTATAAAATCATGTCCATAATTCCCAATTAATTCATTTACTAATTCATCATTCGTCGGATGTCCAACGGCAGCCTCTGCGCCACTCTCCAACTTCATCAACGCCGCCGCACTGGCAGCTGCTCTTTGAATATCTGGTGCCGAAGGTGAAGGTGGCACCGGATAATAGCTTGTTAGAACTTTATTAAAACTTAAACTTTATGATCTTGTCAAGATCTTCATGTCAAACCATCAAGAAACTGAATTAACGCGGAACATACCTTAATCAATTGATTTCTGACTTGATTAATGAATCTTGAATTTGGATCTGTAAATCTTCAGTTTGGTTGCTTCAAATCTGCATCATAATTCCTGATTGTGGGTTTTATGGATCTTCCTCTTCATATGCCTTCTCTTGTATTCTTGTGTTGATGGGATGCCACAAAGAATGAGAAAATCACACATGAATTGGGGACCATAACCCTTTATATATTTCCATATGTATTCGGCCCATCGTC